AGATGGAAGGCTTTGAGGTATATTGTATTAATATATATGCCAAAGCCTTCCATCTCCACTTGAAAGTGTCCAAACTTTGGGTTAATAGTTTGCAATTAACCCAAAGTTTGGACACTTTCTAGAAGGAATTGGAGGCTATGAGATACTGATGCAATGTCAGTAACTCATGGCTTCCAATTCCTTCCTAAAACTCATAAAAGTGGACATTACATGCATATAAAATTTGACATGTAAAGTCCACTTTTTGTGAGCGGGGATTTGACTCCGTCAAATCCCCTTTTTCGTTTACGAGATGTATACGCTAGTTTGTAGTTCAAATAATTGTGCAGATAATAACTGACTGTTGTACGTGGTATCTTTGTCATCTCCTCTATCCTTCTGAGTGATGCTCTTGGGTCTTCATCTAGCGCTTGAAGAATTGCTTTGATTTTTCTTTGATCCGGCGATTTTTTGTCAATTTTTATGATGGGCGCCTTTTTGTTCATGAAGTGATACATCCTAACATGATACGTTACAGTGGAATAGCTAGGAGCATCCATACCGAAGCATTTTACCAATGTCTCGTAGATTTTTTTACAGTCTTTGCATTTTTTTGCAAGAGCGAGGATGTTTTCTTTATGATTCATTAAAAAAATGAAAAAAATCCCGCCAAAATTTCCCGCGAAACCGCCTCTTGTCTCAAAATTCATTTTATATCCCGGCATGGCGCCAAAATACAACATACTCATCATATACATATATTCATATTTTTTATTATATATTTATAATCAGCATATATCTCCTTTAATAGTCTCATATAGAGCGCTGTGCTAAACGCACCTTTGGACACCCTATATTACTCGGTTATACCATTCATATTCTAACGGGCCATAGTAGAATGAATCAACATTCGTGACATTAGCAGCATCGCGAATTAACAGTGTAAAAGATATCCTTGTTAGGTCATCTTTCATTGTAAAACCTCTCTTATTAGCTAAAGGTTTAATCGTAGCTTTATCATTTTCAGCAATTTGAACATCAGCAAAAACTCCAACATCAATTCTCTTTGGTTCTTGTGCTGTGTTTCTAATATTGAATGTTAAAATGAAGTAACCTGTTTGAGAATCAATATCGCCTTTTGTTTCAAATTTAATTCCATTGTATTCGGCCTTTCCTTTATTTGAACCTTTTACATATACTAATGGTCCTGGTTCTCCATTTTCATAGACTCTGAAAACAACATACCAACCATGATTCCAGAATGTTGTGGAATATAATTTTTCCTGATAAAGAAATCCATAATCATTATATGATCCTATATAATATCTGATATCTATATTCGTATCATCTGATGTGAAATCAGGTAACAAACTTTCTCGAAACCAACCCATGATGAGAGTTAAGAGAAGGAAAACCATTTTCCTGAAAATATTGCTTTCAAATTATTCTGAAATAACAGTTTACTTTATTTTAGAACAAATAAACATATTCTTGAACATAACATATAAATCATCAGCTTTTAATTTTGATATAATGAGTTTGAGTCAATGAATGAACAAATTGAATTATTTTCAAGTTTAGAATAATGCATCATCCAATGAATCTAAGAACAATTCCGGGCATGACAATATTTAATGCAACTTTTGAATACATTTAGATAATCATTTTATTTTCGATGTCTTCAATTAAGCACAATCATTTTGAATTTCGATTTGTTTTTTTTCTTATCAAACGATTGATAAATTATTTTTGAATCATTAATATACAAAAAATTTCTATATGTATAATAATCTACAAATAAAAATAAAATAAGAAATTACATTTTTGTGAGATTGAAAGCCATTTTTTTCTCACAACTTCTCAAAAATTCTAATTCTGACAGCTTACATGAATTTAATCTCCTATTAATTATCAAACAAATCCTAATATCTGGCATTTTTACCAATTATTACAATGCAATTTTTGAAACAGTGATTTTTGAATGAAAATTCAATGAACTGTAATTAGATTCTAGAATCTTATTAATACTAAAATCTATATATTTTAAATTTATTCATTCAAAATTAAATTCGATAATTTTCTTTTATCGTATTTAATTCCATCTCACAAAAATTAATTAAGCCCATTTTATAACTCATTTCATATATATGAAAATTAAATCAATAAAATAGAGATTATCATTTTTTTTAAACAAAATCGTTCTAATCCACTTGCTTTCTGAATGAAATATTGCCAATTCTTCATATTTTCTGCAATGTATAAATTTTTAATAGTTTATATCAAAAAAAATAATATTAAAAGAAAGATTGCATCGTTCAATTGAGCAAAAAAATCCGAATTAATTTATTTTCCTATTAAATTATAAATATATGATATATGGATATATGATTATTATGCATTAATCTATATGATGTATGTTTCATAACACATTTGTTTTCCAATGATAAATAAAGTAACAAATCTTTATGTTATTATTCGTCATATATAGAAACAAATGATATATATTGTATTCTTACTTATAAAATTGTTTCATACTAACAAATTTATGAAAATTGAGTCAATCTCTTAATATTTCCGAAGAAGCAAGCTATTTAGACATCTTAGTTAAGGGTTATATTTGATACCATTAAAATATACACACACTAAATTCTAAATTATAACAGATTTATAAATTCTTTTAAATTTGATTCTAAATTTGAACAAATAAAATAAAGCATTTATATAGGGTGTCCAAAGGTGTGTTTAGCACAAACCTGAATACTGCAAATAGAAATAAACAAGTTACATATATATAAAGTTTATTTAAATATAATCACCATTGGATTCAATCACGCGTTCGCAGCGATCGATCCAGGCTTGAAAGACACGCTTTAAATCATCATGAGAAAATTGCTCAAATTGCTCTCTTACAAAATTTTCAAGATCATCTGGACTCGCGAATTCGCGTCCTTCAGCTCTCTTTTTTAGCGTGCCGAATAAATAAAAGTCAGAGGGTGCAATATCAGGTGAATAAATTGGGTTTGGAACAACTTTGACATTGTTTTCCACCAAGTAATTCATTACCTTATGACTTTTGTGAACTCTTGAATTATCAAAATGAATTGCAAACTTTTGTTTTTGTTGTTTGGATTTCTCAAACTCATCAGAATTGATAATTTGAGTAAGAACATTGTCAATTAGATACTGAGCATTCATCGTATTAGGTTTTTGAAGAATATCAATTGCGATGATATCATTCACGCCCCAAAAAACCGACAACATCATCATTGGTGTGTCAATTTTTTTCTTCGGGAATGTTTGCGGATTTTCATCCTTCGGGATCCACATGATTTTGGCATCTGTTGCATATTGAAACCAAGACTCGTCCCCTGTTACTAAAAAGCGAAACTTCTTGGATTGATACGCACCCAATATAGAGAGGAGCTCTTTCGAAGATTGGACTCTAGATTTTTTTTGAACTGAATTAAGGTTGTGCGGAACCCAACGTGTATGTTGTAAACGAAAACGATAAAAACAGTTTGACAGAAAAAGTGACACTTTACATGGCAAAAAATAGAGCCTTACTTTTGAGATACTTGAGATTGAAACTGAATCTTATGAGGCGGTGATCTTGAATCACTACCTCATAAGGTTCAGTTTCATATAAAATTTGTTGCAATTTGTTATTCTTTTGCAATTATTTCTTATAAGATTTTACATCTTTTACCGGGGAATGTTTGTTATCATGTATATATTATAAATATCTACACGATAACGAACATTCCTCGCTAAATTGCTGAGAAACTCAGATTTATATAGATCACTAGAGTCCCCTAGGCACTGATTCTGGTTCAGTACCTAGGAGGCTCTAGTTCTCTAACGAACTGATAAAATGTTTTTAAATTTTTGGATATTGCTACCTGTGAAGCACTGACTTCAAGTCAGTACCTCACAGGTAGCAATTACATTGAAAGATGGGAGAAACTTTGTCCGAATGTTAAACTATTCGGACAAAGTTTCTCCCATTTGTAGTGGAGATGGAAGGCTTTGAGGTATATTGTATTAATATATATGCCAAAGCCTTCCATCTCCACTTGAAAGTGTCCAAACTTTGGGTTAATAGTTTGCAATTAACCCAAAGTTTGGACACTTTCTAGAAGGAATTGGAGGCTATGAGATACTGATGCAATGTCAGTAACTCATGGCTTCCAATTCCTTCCTAAAACTCATAAAAGTGGACATTACATGCATATAAAATTTGACATGTAAAGTCCACTTTTTGTGAGCGGGGATTTGACTCCGTCAAATCCCCTTTTTCGTTTACGAGATGTATACGCTAGTTTGTAGTTCAAATAATTGTGCAGATAATAACTGACTGTTGTACGTGGTATCTTTGTCATCTCCTCTATCCTTCTGAGTGATGCTCTTGGGTCTTCATCTAGCGCTTGAAGAATTGCTTTGATTTTTCTTTGATCCGGCGATTTTTTGTCAATTTTTATGATGGGCGCCTTTTTGTTCATGAAGTGATACATCCTAACATGATACGTTACAGTGGAATAGCTAGGAGCATCCATACCGAAGCATTTTACCAATGTCTCGTAGATTTTTTTACAGTCTTTGCATTTTTTTGCAAGAGCGAGGATGTTTTCTTTATGATTCATTAAAAAAATGAAAAAAATCCCGCCAAAATTTCCCGCGAAACCGCCTCTTGTCTCAAAATTCATTTTATATCCCGGCATGGCGCCAAAATACAACATACTCATCATATACATATATTCATATTTTTTATTATATATTTATAATCAGCATATATCTCCTTTAATAGTCTCATATAGAGCGCTGTGCTAAACGCACCTTTGGACACCCTATATTAAAAATTATTAGAAATATCCATGTTCAAAGCTAAAAATATTAATTCCATAAATTATATAAATGTATTTATTAGTTTAGAAACAGTGCATAAATAGGTATAGATCGATAATAAAATCTATCTTTATCCGCAAAATACAAATCAATATAAATCGCATTATAATGATAATGAATTATTCATCATCCTTAATAAAGAAGTACTGGACTGGATTAGATTCTTCAAATTCACCTGCAAAAATATCTTCTTCTTGATCCATTACGGATGTTGTAAACAATGGATTATCAAGTGTAATACCTTCATTAGGGTTGACAACAGATGAAATGACTGTTTCTTGCATCTCAATTGATGATTCCTCTTCTGATTCTTCTTGTTTCATGTGACGAATATACAAAACAATTCCTATAACCAAAGCAATAATGATTGCTAATATTGATGCAACAATTGCAATGATCATTCCAATATTCTTCTTCTTGGTTGTAGTTTCCGAGTCTGCATTAACATTTATTGTCGGGGCATCATTGTAAACAAAATCTTTTGTTGTTGAAGGTGTTTCGATGGAAGAATCAGAATTGATTTTCGGTTCGATTTTCTCTGGAGAACTCTTTGGAGTAATAAATGGAGTTTCAAAAGCAGTTTCCTTTTGTGTAAAGAACGGTGTTTCGGCAGCTGTTTCTTTGTTTGTAACAAATGGTGTTTCTATTGCTGTTTCTTTCTCTGTAATAAATGGAGTTTCGAAGGCAGTTTCTTTATTTGTTACAAATGGCGTTTCAAAAGCTGTTTCCTTCTGTGTAAGGAATGGTGTTTCTTGATTTGTTATAAATGGACTAGTAAATGGTGTTTCAAAGGCAGTCAAGAAAGGTGTTTCAAATGGAGTTTCTTTGTTTGTAATGAATGGTGTTTCAACAAATGTTTCGAAAGGTGAATCTGGTGTTTTATGTGGTGTTATCATGTTTGTTCCGAAAGGTGTTTCGAAAGCAGTTGAGAAGGCAGTTTCAAACGGAGTTTCGACTTCAGTCAAATATGGTGTTTCGACAGCAGATGAAAATGGTGTTTCTTCTACAGTTGAAAACGGCGTATCAAATGCTGTTACATATGGAGTTTCTTCAAATGTCGTGAATGGGGTTTCCGCAGCAGTTGTAAATGGAGTTGCTTCAAATGTTGTTAATGGAGTTTCCGCCGCAGTTGTTAATGGAGTTTCCGCAGCAGTTGTTAATGGAGTTTCTTCAGCAGTTGTAAACGGAGTGCTGGCAGCAGTAAAATATGGTGTCTCAGCAGCAGTAAAATAAGGTGTATTATAAGCTGTAGAAAATGGAGTATTTTCGGCTGTTGAATGTGGCGTTTTGAAAGCAGTATTAAATGGCGTCTGAACAGATGTTTCATAAGGTGTTTCTTGGGATGTCGAATACGGAGTTGGAACAGCTGTTTGTGGATAAGGTTTTACGTATACTTTTAATTCAACCATATTTGAAGAATGTCCTGCGTCATCTTTTGCTTCAACAAATAACGAATATTCATTTGGTTTTATATTCCAAGGCAATTTAACTTTTCCATTAAATGTTTGCCATTGTGCATTTGCTCTTCCGCTAATGATTTTCTCATTTAGTACATCAGAAATGAATGCAAAAACTGATAGTCCTTCACGATCATCTTCATCTTTGATTTGTCCAGAAATAATTAATTCTGATCCGGGATAAACTATGTCTTCCTCTAATGAAACTAATTTAATTGTTGGCTTCTGCGAGAGAGAATATTCAAATGTATGTGGAATTTCATCCGATTTGACACCATATTTGTCAACAGCATAAATATAAATTGTATGCTGTCCCTTTTGTAACCATGATGGTATTTCTAAGTTCTTTGAATAACTTGCTCCATAAATGCTGCATGAAATATTTTCAGGTGCATTTGATGTAAAAGAATCATCAAATCTATATCTTATTTGAACGTAATCTTCATCATATACGTAGCCTTTGATATAAATTGTTGAACCATTATTATATGTATTACTCAATGTATTTGTAACTGTGATCTTTGGTTTGTTTGTTACAATTAATGTTTTCTTTAGTTCAGCTGATTTAAATCCCTTGCTATCACTAGCATACACAGTTATCTCTTTTGTTCCTTTAGATACAAACGTTACATCATGCTTGTATATAGCACTTGTTTTAGTTTCAGATATTTCCAAAGTTCCATACTTTTTAGTTGAGTCTTCCATAAGAATCACCGTTACTGTTTCTCCAATATCATAATCACCTACTTCGAATCTTATTGTTAATTGCTCACCTGGAGTATAGACATCTTTGAACTCTGTAATCCATCTAACATATGGAGCAGTCCTCAAATTTGTTCCAACACCTGCTGTGGTTCCAAGTGATATTTTTTCTCCAGGATATATATCTCTCTTCTGCCATGAGAATGCAAAACAGCTATCCTGACCAGTTAATGCTTTATCTAAGGTTGCGTTTTCGAAATATGGGAATTTGTCTGTGTTGTAAGAATAGAAATCGTAAGAATGAGAATAAGAATTATAATCTCCATTGAACCACTCACGTTTCAATGGTCCATAGTAGAAAGAATCGACATTTGTTGCCCCAGCAGCATCTCGAATTAATAATGTATATGAAATTTGAGCGTCACTATCAGTCATTGTGAAACCTCTATTATTAGCTAAAGGTTTAATCGTAGCTTTATCATTTTCAGCAATTTGAACATCAGCAAAAACTCCAACATCAATTCTCTTTGGTTCTTGTGCTGTGTTTGTAATATCGAATGTTAAAATGAGGTAACCTGTTGTTGAATCAATTTTGTAATTTGTGGCAAAATAAATTCCATTGTATTTTGCAACTCCATTATTCGAACCCCTTACATACACTAATTTTCCGGGTTCGCCATCTTCATAAACCCTGAAAACAACAAACCAACCATAGTTGTTGAATGTTGTGGAATACTCTTTTGTTTCATAAGTGTCCCAATAATAATCATATTCATCTCTATAATATCTAATATCTAAATCTGCTTTATCATTTGCAGCATATACCTTCAATTTTTCACCAGAGGCAGCATCTAGGAGAGATAAGAGAACAAAAAACATTTTCTTGAATAAACTCTTTTCAAAATTTCAAACGGAATATCTACATTATTTGAATACGAATGTCAGATGATTTTGCACTGAATTCATTTAAAGTTACACATACCACAATATGGTGCATTTTTTTCAAAGTTTTATTTTTTAGTCGATAATTTGAGACAATGAATGGTCAATCAAATTCAATACAATTTTATTTATCCGGGCAAAGCAATTAGATATGCATTTTAAAGCACATTAATGGAGACAATTATTTCCAGTAATTATGCTAATATGACATCATAAAATGGCATTGAGTGAAATTTTTCACTTTTGAATATTATGATAAGCATTTTATTATCGAAATGAAACGTAAGTACCATCCATTGAAATATCATGTTATACAGCATGTCTATAAAATGATCGATAAAATTTTTTGGAACCACAAATTTTCGTAACATTTTAATACTAATAGTTAATCTTTAAACTATCATTTAAAATTTAATTATATTTTTGAGAGGTCATAGAACACTTTTCCCCTCAATTTGCTACATAGTCCTAATTCTGACCATAAATCGAATAGTCTCAAAACTAGTCATCGATTAATGTTTATAAATCAGCTAAATGATTGTTAATCAGTATCTTCATCGATACGAACAAATTCAATTTTGATCAAGTTCATTATATTTTTGAATGGTTTGAGATTTTTGAATTGATATCCAACCATATCACATTTAAGGAAATTAATAACACTTAGTATGCTACAATAAAAATTTAAAATGCACGTTGAATTTAACATAATCGTAATTTATATCAACTCCAAAAAATAAACATAAATACGTATTCTATCATTGATTTAATACAAATCAAAACTATAAGAAAAGAAAATTGTTATGAAAAAGAAAGAAAAATCTTTTATTTTACATTTTTTGATCGATGCTTTAAGCAATCTAATTTCCAGTCACAACTGATTTTACAACAGGTTAATTGTTATTTTCAAAACACATATTGGAATATCGATATTTCCGACATTACATTATTTACAATAATCCTATGGATCCTTATGCTTGATTATTTAATGGCATTGATAATAGCCATTTTAAATAACATTTTTTATTCATTTCGATCCTTTGAATTAAATAAACCAAAATCTTTAAGCAAATATGAGATCAAATTAAACTCAATCGTCGTATTTGATCTGCATACTTTTGAGTCAATTCTTCGGTGGATTATATTTATTTCATTTGACATTTACATTTATAACTTATTGAGTATATCTTTAAAATATAATATATAAAACCTATTAAAATATAATCAATTTTGGCATTAAAATTCTTTTATTTAATCATATTTTCAAATTTATAGCTTCAGCTCCTTAATTTTACATTACAGTTTCTTATATGTTAAATATTACACAATTTCTATCACGATCTCAACGCAACTATTCTGTTTCTTCCATCAAAAGAAATTTCAAAAATTAATCCGCAAAAAAACAAATTTTATATTATAAACAAACTATTCATCTTCTTCCTTGATAAAGAAGTAATGGACAGTATTGCCTTCTTCGAAATCTCCGGCAAAGATATCTTCGTCATCATCAACAGTAGTTGTTGTAAATAATGGGTTATCCAATGTAGCTCCATCATTTGGATTTACAACAGATTGTATGACAGTCTCTGCCATTTCAATAGATGACTCTTCTTCGCTATCATCTTGGTGGGTGCGTTTGTAAATAAATACAGCAATCAAAATTGCTATAATTATAACTGCAATTACAGAACAGATTACAACAATCAATATAGTGCTCTTCTTCTTCTTGGCAGAACCATCATCCTGGAACAGGGTTGGCATCTCATCAGCAGAATTTGGAGTAACACTCGATGAATTCTTGGAGTCATCATCTAAGTTAGACTTCTCATTCGGTGACTCTCCATTAGCTGGTGGAACTTCTTTTATTGGAGTTTCCTGTGAAGTAAGAAACGGAGTCGCGAATACTGTTACAAATGGTGTATCGTGAGCTGTCTGAAATGCAGAACTGAATGGTGTTTCATAGGGGGTATTATGGGAAGTTTGGAATGCAGTATTGAATGGAGTTTCAAAAGCAGTCTTAGGAGCTGTTTGGAATGGGGTAATTGGCTGAATTAAAACTGTAACATAACAATAATAATATTCAGATTGATCTCTACCAGTATCTTTGGCCGATACAGATATTCTATATTTGCCAGGTGGGGTATCCGGAGGAATTGTTAATTCATATTCGAAATCTGTCCATGTGATTTTTGTCTCAAAATTGGGAATAATTGTTGTTTCCGGACCAAACTCTCCAAACGAAAGAGAAATATCAGAATAACTATTTGGATCTTCATCTTTGATCTGTCCCGTTACTTTAACAGTCCTTCCTCTGATTACTGTTTCTGCTGATGTCTTAAGGTTTTGAATTTCTGGTGGATGGGTGTTAACAAATGAAAATTCAAATTCATCACCTTTTGAATAAGTATTAGAAGCCTTATCAACAGCATAGAAAGTAATACAATGTTGTCCATCCTGGAAATTTACAGGGAAATCAATAAGTTCTGAGAAATAATAAGAATTTGATACCGTGTATTCTTTTGGAAGCACCTTAGTTTCTGTTGAATCAAATTTATATGCTAATAATCCTGTTGAAACATCAATAATTCTTCCTTTTACAGCTATTCTACTATTCTTTGTGTAACTGTTCTTCGGTTTTTCATCAAAATGCAGTGAAGGGGAACGTGGAACATTCAAGATCTTTGTAATAGGAATGGATACTTCATAATTTCCTCTCTTGCAGTAAATTGTGATGTTGAATTCTGGAGATGAACGAACAGTTACTTTCTGAGTTATCTTCTTACTGGTTGTGGTTGCTATAAATTCATCTTTGATAATTTGGTTATTGGTGCTTTCAATGTAGTATGCAATTTTTTGATTTGCAACGATATTTGTTACTTCAAATGAGACTTCAATTTCTTGGTTCATTGTGTATGACTCAGCAAATGTGCTGGTAAAGGAAACTACTGGCCTTGTTATCCTGCCTGCACCAATAACTGTTTTCAAAGTTAGTATACATAAGTCGTGTACGGTGGCACTGCGCACCTCCATACACAACTTAGCTGTTTTGACACTTTACAAAACCGTTAACGTATATTTTACAACACAAACACAAACACCAACTTAACCTTAAATATTTATAAAGCCGCCAACCACTTCACCTCACTACTGTAAAAAATAAACGTTCTCACTTACAGAAGTATTGCAACTCTTCCCATTGCTGTGCTTCACACAATAGTTCATATTCTTCAGTATCGCTGCTGTCGCTCCAATCGTCAGAGTCAAAGTCACTGTCAAAATAAATGTTAGTAAGTTTTGACAAAGCTAATGAAACACGCTTACCGTTTGTATCGTATGCTTGTATAAACTTTCCATTCTTCATTCCTTCATAAACGCTCAAACTAACTTTACCCTTTCTCCCTCGTATCTGATAGAATGTATTTTCACGAGGAACGAAGAACAAATTCTTGAACTCATGACCGTTGTAGTTTGTTATCTCAATAGTTTTCGTCATTTACATAAAAATAAAATAAAAATAAAATAAAAAATAAACTTAAAAATTAATGATATCACCACTCCCACACGTATGAAAACATAGCACAAAAATAAATTTAGGTGAAGTGGTGAGATCTCACCTCTTTTTTCACCTGTTTTTTCACCCACTTGAATTCATTACTTTATAATCTCACGAAACTTAACAGGTAGCATAACAGATTAAAATCAGATGAGGTTTTGAACCAAAATTTCTAAGCAACGTTGTCAAGGATTTTGAGGAACTAGGGACAGAGTGTGGCAAAGTCCAAGATTTAATTTATCTTCACCTGTTTCATCAGCTATCTCATCTAATATGCCAATATTTTATTCATAACTCGTGGCAAACTCACTAACTTTCATTATGTTCATCTGCATGCTTCATCTGATAGAAAGTATGACTTTCATTAACTCTGTGAGATAATGAAAACTACTAGGGACAGAGACCATGGCAAAGTTTATGACTTTCATTATTTCCAGAACTTAATGAAAACTACTAGGGACAGAGACCATGGCAAAGTTCATGATTTAATTTATTCTCTCACTAACAACAAACACAAACTCCAACACTAACATCAAGTACTAACTTCAGCACAAATGACAAACACTAACAACAAACACAAACTCCAACACTAACGACAAAAATAAATGTCCTCACTTCTTAACAAAGTAATATGTGCTTCTTACACCACCATAGCTCAAACGTTTCTTTTCAAACATCGATTGAAACTTATTTTGAGCCATTGGCTTTAGTCTCTTTTTCTTCAAATACGCCAAGAAATCTTCTTCACATCTTTTCACTTCATAGCCTTCTTTAAACTCCTCCTTGTTAAGTTCTATGAAATCCTTTATATTATTCTTTGTTGCAATGGCTTCTTCACGAACGACATCATGAACTATTTCATCACTGTTCTCATGTATGACCTCCTCACTGTTCTCATGAACTATTTCATCATTGCATTCATGTATGACCTCCTCACTGTTCTCATGAACTATTTCATCACTGTTCTCATGTATGACCTCCTCACTGTTCTCATGAACTATTTCATCACTGTTCTCATGTATGACCTCCTCACTGTTCTCATGAACTATTTCAACACTGTTCTCATGAACGACCTCCTTACTGTCTTTCATAAGCGTTTCAAAGTCTCCTTTACTCATTACTTCAATCTCATGCTGTTCACAGTAGTACTTAAACTCACTGTATATGTCTTTGTTGTATGTTATATTGCTTCCCATGTACTCCATGAATTTTTCAAGCACTTCCTCATAATTCACTGTTTCTTTCTTTCCACGACCTTCTAATATCATACTTGCTTCGTAAATATAACTTCTTGCAGAACCGTCTCGCTTTCTACTTCTCTTCACAAATTCTCTCATCTTGCCACCAAATACATTTGAACTACATGCAAAGAATTCATTCTCCTTCGCAAATTCTTTATATCTTCTGTAGCACTCTGTACAATTCCATCCGGATACAAACTTTTCATAGAACTCCTCGTAAAACATTTGGTAAGGTGTTTTGTTCATTTCGATGAGTTCTTGTTTAGCCCTGGTGAATGGTATCTTCCTTACATCAAATTCACTTAAATCTTTCTTCATGAAGTACGTCAGTAAGTTTGAATAAAACTCTTCATTAAAGCTTTCAATGAGATTTGAGAAATATTCGTAATTTCCTTTGTATCTGCTGCTTACGTCAATGACAACAAATCTTCTGTCGTCTTTGTCAATCTTTACTGAGTTGAAGTTGTTAGATATCATGATGATATTACAAACATTCTCTATCTTTCTTACTGGCTGACACTTCTGATTTAAGTCCAACTGAGTCTCTGTTACTATTGACTTTAGTGCGTCGTGGTTCATGACCTTAGACGTATCGCATGAGCTTAGTTCATTGCATACGATGAGCTTCATGTTCTCAATAGCAGCATTGAATCTACCAACCACATTCTCTATTGCCGTTATATTATTGTTGGCGTACTTGCTAATGAGCTCGCATAGAACATTACTAAGTACATTCTTACCAGTTCCTTGCTTTCCTATTAACAAAAGTACTGTTCCAGTCTTTCCACAAGGATTTTGAACGATGTAGGCGAACCAGTTCAAAACATACTCATAAAGCTCTTCATCCTCATTACATATGACATCGTGAACATGTTTCAAATATCCTTCAATAACGCTTTCATCTACTTCATTCAGTACCTCATACTCATATCCTCTGAAATAGCTGTAAATGTCATCTCTTTCGTCAAAGAATCTCATGCCTGACTTCATAAGATAGTTCTTGTTCTGACCCGCTTCATAAATCATCAGTGCGTTCACATCCTTCTCCTCAATACGTCCTACATAAACACTCTTCATGAGCTTATTGAATTCCTTGCTATCTACTGACACAAGTGTTGTTGTGTCTCGTATTCCATCATAATCTTTCACTAGATATGTCATACGTGCTCCGTCAATAACAACAACACATCTTCTTAAGTCATTTATAACACTAGCTATGTCAATACCTTCTTCACTCATGTACTTATTTTTCCTCAAGTCCTTTAGTGTGAAAGTGTCTCTAAGTTCTATTTCAAGCAATTCATTTACACATCCTTTGCAATACTTCTCTATAAAATATTTCTGTCGTTCTTTACTAAGTTTCTTAACAGCTCTGAAGAACCATGTGTTTTGACTCAAACATCCTTCACAACTTCTCTCATTCATTCCTAGTTCTTTCATGTCATTATCTTCAACCTCTATGGTCTCATTGACTAAGGTCAAAGGGTTCTTAGTCATTGCTGGTCTTATCTGAAACAATGTTTGTGCAACAGGTTTAACTAGTTCAGCAACGTCCTTCCTTAATATGAATAGCTGTTTCCACTCATCTTTGCTAACAGTTCTTTCATAACCACTGACAGTAATGATTTCATTTGCTGACCTTAGACACTTATGTTCTATCATTTGTATTGCTTTTGTGTAAGGCTTTCGTGAGCATAGGTTGTATATGTCATTCCTGCAATGTTCATTCATGCCAATAGTACTAAATCCTTTCTTTGCTGTTGAGTGCATAATATCCATTAGTTCCTGTGTTCGTATTGCTGTCTCATAAAATACAACAAGACCTTTGTCATCTATGACGTACTTACCGAAAACATTGCTTATATTCTTTAACCATGAAATAACATCCTCATTCATGCTGTCAAACATGAAGTAAGGTCTTACATACTCTTCACTTATAAGATACTCCACAAAGTACTTGTTAAGCTCTATGTCCTCGTGAGCGATTTCATTAGGTTTGATATTAGTTCCTTTTGTCATTGCTGTCATGTACTTCACTCTCATAGTTCCTTTCAATAGCGTAAAAATACTTCATTGTTTCATAACTGCTCTAAATTCTGTTCAAAATTCGTACAACATAACTTTTAACATTAGTGAAAGAACATGAGCGAAACAACAACATTAACATTACAGAAGAAGTCAATGACAATGCCGATGAAAACATTACAGAAGGAGCTAGTGAAAATATTGACGAGTTCAGTGAGGAAGAAGATATTGAGGACGTCAATGAGAACGTTAGTGGGGAAACAAACTCAATGGGAAACATTGAGAAATCATGAAGATTATGAGATTTGTACGACATATCCTTTTACTATTCGTCGAAAGAAAAACAAACATATTAAGAGTGAATGCTTAAATAATCATGGTTATATTGAGCTTAGTTTAAACAACAAAACACATTTAAAGCATAGAATTATTGCAGAACAGTGGATTGAAAATCCAAACAATTTGAAAGAAATAGACCATATTAAATCATGATAGAACTGACAACAGAATCTCAAACCTTCGTTGGTGTTCTAAATCTGAAAACAATAGAAATAAAAGCAAGTATGGCGATATAGTTTATGAGTTCGTTGATGAAATATGACGAAGCTGTTGAAATAACAGATTATGGTAAGCATTCGTTTGAGTTCTACTACTATGTGAGAATGAGGACGCATTCTATTATTATACAGGTCTTAACTATCGAAAACTTCATATAAACTTTACAAAAACAGGTGATGCTTATGTTTGTATGATAGATACAGAAAACAAGAGAGTAATTTTATGCATAAACAAATTCAAACGCTTGTACGGCTTCATGTAGGACAAACATTATTTTTCAACACTAACGCCAACACGTAGGACAAACATTCATGACTAACATTACTGTATAACATAAATGTTTTGTCATGATTTCATCGTAAATGTTTTGTCATAGATTTCATCGTAAATGTTTTGTCATGATTTCTTCGTAAATGTTTTTGTCATGATTTCTTCGTAAATGTTTTGTCATGATTTCATCGTAAATGATTTTGTCATGATTTCTTCATCGTAATGAGTGTAAATGATCCAAAAATAATGTTTATGTTAGAATGTTAGATCTAACACCTTTTCTAACATGTTTTCTAACATGACCTCATCGTAAATGTTTTGTTATGACCCATGGAACTTAAACATAAATGTTTTGTTATGACCTCATGGAACTTAAACGTAAATGTTTTGTCATGACCTCATCGTAAATGTTTTGTCATGACCTCATCGTAAATGTTTTGTCATGACCTCATCGTAAATGTTTTGTCATGACCTCATCGTAAATGTTTTGTTATGACCTCATGGAACTTAAACATAAATGTTTTGTTATGACCTCATGGAACTTAAACGTAAATGTTTTGTCATGACCTCATCGTATATGTTTTGTCAAGATTTCATCGTACATGTTTTGTCATGATTTAATCGTAAATGTTTTGTCATGATTTAATCGTATATGCTTTGTCAAACATGAACGTATATGTTTTGTCGAAACTTCTTCATCGTAATGAGTGTATATTTTGTCGAAACTTCTTCATCGTAATGAGCGTATATGTTTTGTCGAAACCTCTTCATCGTATATGCTTTGTCGAAACTTCTTCATCGTAATGAGCGTAAATGTTTTGTCAAGACTTCTTCATCGTAATGAGTGTAAATGTTTTGTCATGATTTCATCGTACATGAATTTCATGACTTCTTCATCGTAATGAGCGTATATGCTTTGTCATGATTTAATCGTATATGCTTTGTCAAACATGAACGTATATGTTTTGTCATGATTTAATCGTATATGCTTTGTCGAAACTTCATCGTATATGCTTTGTCATGATTTCATCGTAATGAGCGTAAATGACCCAAAAATAATGTTTAGGTGAAGAGGTGAGATCTCACCTCTTTTCTCACCTCTTTTCTCACCTCATTGAATTTTCATGATTTCTTCATCGTAATGAGCGTATATGTTTTGTCATGACTTCTTCGTATATGTTTTGTCATGATTTCATCGTAAATGTTTTGTCATGATTTCATCGTATATGTTTTGTCATGACTTCATCGTATATGTTTTGTCATGACTTCATCGTATATGTTTTGTCAAGACTTCTTCATCGTATATGTTTTGTCATGACTTCATCGTACATGCTTTGTCAAACATGAACGTATATGTTTTGTCATGATTTCATCGTATATGCTTTGTCATGACTTCTTCATCGTAATGAGTGTAAATGATTTGTCAAAACTTCATCGTATATGCTTTGTCAAGACTTCTTCATCGTAATGAGCGTAAATGATTTGTCAAAACTTCATCGTATATGCTTTGTCAAACATGAACGTATATGTTTTGTCATGACTTCATCGTATATGTTTTGTCATGACTTCTTCTTCGTATATGCTTTGTCAAAACTTCATCGTACATGTTTTGTCGAAACTTCATCGTATATGTTTTGTAATGATTTCTTCGTAAATGTTTTGTCATGACTTCATCGTAATGAGCGTAAATGACCCAAAAATAATGTTTAGGTGAAGAGGTGAGATCTCACCTCTTTTCTCACCTCTTTTCTCACCTCATTGAATTTTCATGATTTCTTCATCGTAATGAGCGTATATGCTTTGTCATGATTTCATCGTAAATGATTTGTCAAACATGAACGTAAATGATTTGTCAAAACTTCATCGTATATGCTTTGTCAAGACTTCTTCATCGTAATGAGCGTAAATGTTTTGTCATGATTTCATCGTATATGTTTTGTCAAACATGAACGTAAATGATTTGTCGAAACTTCATCGTATATGTTTTGTTATGATTTCATCGTATATGTTTTGTCATGACTTCTTCATCGTAATGAACGTATATGCTTTGTCAAACATGAACGTAAATGTTTTGTCAAGACTTCTTCATCGTAATGAGTGTAAATGTTTTG